TTCAATTCATGTAACGATAGCGTACACGCGCACAAGTACTCGCTCGCTGGAGTCGCGTCTTATCGCAATCTGAAGGACTAAAGTGTTCGACCGCCGAACACTTGTGTCCACGCCGCGATCGCACGCGCGCGCACAAGTACTCGCTCGCTTGAGTCGCGTCTTATCGCAATCTGAAGGACTAAAGTGTTCGACCGCCGAACACTTGTGTCCACGCCGGGTTCGCGCCGCGCGCACAAGTACTCGCTCGTTTGAGTCGCGTCTTATCGCAATCTGAAGGACTAAAGTGTTCGACCGCCGAACACTTGTGTCCACGCCGCGATCGCGCGCGCGCGCACAAGTACTCGCTCGCTTGAGTCGCGTCTCTTCGAAATCTGAAGGACAAAAGTGTTCGACCGCCGAACACTTGTGTCCACGCCGCGATCGCGCCGCGCGCACAAGTACTCGCTCGCTTGAGTCGCGTCTTATCGCAATCTGAAGGACTAAAGTGTTCGACCGCCGAACACTTGTGTCCACGCCGCGATCGCGCGCGCGCACAAGTACTCGCTCGCTGGAGTCGCGTCTTATCGCAATCTGAAGGACTAAAGTGTTCGACCGCCGAACACTTGTGTCCACGCCGCGATCGCGCGCGCGCGCACAAGTACTCGCTCGCTTGAGTCGCGTCTCTTCGAAATCTGTAGGACAAAAGTGTTCGGCCGCCGAACACTTGTGTCCACGCCGCGATCGCGCGCGAACAAGTACTCGCTCGCTTGAGTCGCGTCTCCTGAAAATCCGGGTAAAAAAGCGATCGGCCGTCGATCACCTCTATCAACAACATGATCGCACGTGCGTACGAGCCCTCCCACGATTTGATTTTAACCGGTTCGTAATTTCCCGGTCCCGGAAAGAACAAGTTTGATTTTTGAAGGTTTCGACTTCTGATTATATACGTGATCAAACTATGGATATACTCGTATATAAGGGTAGGATCCATCGTACTGGCAGTTGGACTTGCGCGATTTGATATTACCCCCGCGTACCCACTTCGTTTCCCATTGGAAGTACCCTCTATACGGGATCAGGTCGAAAAAATTATCTTTTTTTTATGTTTGTCACTTTAATAAGTCGAGTCCTAAAATAGTTCAATAATTTTCCAATGAGTAGGAACTCATGTGACAAGTAATATTTTATTACAATAGGTATCGACATTGAGCAAGTAAGTTGAAAAAAATATACTAAGTTCAATTTTATAAGGTTCCGACTTCTGATTATATACGTGATCAAACTATGTATATACTCGTATATAAGGGTAGGATCCATCCTACTGGCAGTTGGACTTGCGCGATTTGATATTACCCCCGCGTACCCACTTCGTTTCCCATTGGAAGTACCCTCTATACGGGATCAGGTCGAAAAAATTATCTTTTTTTTATGTTTGTCACTTTAATAAGTCGAGTCCTAAAATAGTTCAATAATTTTCCAATGAGTAGGAACTCATGTGACAAGTAATATTTTATTACAATAGGTATCGACATTGAGCAAGTAAGTTGAAAAAAATATACTAAGTTCAATTTTATAAGGTTCCGACTTCTGATTATATACGTGATCAAACTATGTATATACTCGTATATAAGGGTAGGATCCATCCTACTGGCAGTTGGACTTGCGCGATTTGATATTACCCCCGCGTACCCACTTCGTTTCCCATTGGAAGTACCCTCTATACGGGATCAGGTCGAAAAAATTATCTTTTTTTTATGTTTGTCACTTTAATAAGTCGAGTCCTAAAATAGTTCAATAATTTTCCAATGAGTAGGAACTCATGTGACAAGTAATATTTTATTACAATAGGTATCGACATTGAGCAAGTAAGTTGAAAAAAATATACTAAGTTCAATTTTATAAGGTTCCGACTTCTGATTATATACGTGATCAAACTATGTATATACTCGTATATAAGGGTAGGATCCATCCTACTGGCAGTTGGACTTGCGCGATTTGATATTACCCCCGCGTACCCACTTCGTTTCCCATTGGAAGTACCCTCTATACGGGATCAGGTCGAAAAAATTATCTTTTTTTTATGTTTGTCACTTTAATAAGTCGAGTCCTAAAATAGTTCAATAATTTTCCAATGAGTAGGAACTCATGTGACAAGTAATATTTTATTACAATAGGTATCGACATTGAGCAAGTAAGTTGAAAAAAATATACTAAGTTCAATTTTATAAGGTTCCGACTTCTGATTATATACGTGATCAAACTATGTATATACTCGTATATAAGGGTAGGATCCATCCTACTGGCAGTTGGACTTGCGCGATTTGATATTACCCCCGCGTACCCACTTCGTTTCCCATTGGAAGTACCCTCTATACGGGATCAGGTCGAAAAAATTATCTTTTTTTTATGTTTGTCACTTTAATAAGTCGAGTCCTAAAATAGTTCAATAATTTTCCAATGAGTAGGAACTCATGTGACAAGTAATATTTTATTACAATAGGTATCGACATTGAGCAAGTAAGTTGAAAAAAATATACTAAGTTCAATTTTATAAGGTTCCGACTTCTGATTATATACGTGATCAAACTATGTATATACTCGTATATAAGGGTAGGATCCATCCTACTGGCAGTTGGACTTGCGCGATTTGATATTACCCCCGCGTACCCACTTCGTTTCCCATTGGAAGTACCCTCTATACGGGATCAGGTCGAAAAAATTATCTTTTTTTTATGTTTGTCACTTTAATAAGTCGAGTCCTAAAATAGTTCAATAATTTTCCAATGAGTAGGAACTCATGTGACAAGTAATATTTTATTACAATAGGTATCGACATTGAGCAAGTAAGTTGAAAAAAATATACTAAGTTCAATTTTATAAGGTTCCGACTTCTGATTATATACGTGATCAAACTATGTATATACTCGTATATAAGGGTAGGATCCATCCTACTGGCAGTTGGACTTGCGCGATTTGATATTACCCCCGCGTACCCACTTCGTTTCCCATTGGAAGTACCCTCTATACGGGATCAGGTCGAAAAAATTATCTTTTTTTTATGTTTGTCACTTTAATAAGTCGAGTCCTAAAATAGTTCAATAATTTTCCAATGAGTAGGAACTCATGTGACAAGTAATATTTTATTACAATAGGTATCGACATTGAGCAAGTAAGTTGAAAAAAATATACTAAGTTCAATTTTATAAGGTTCCGACTTCTGATTATATACGTGATCAAACTATGTATATACTCGTATATAAGGGTAGGATCCATCCTACTGGCAGTTGGACTTGCGCGATTTGATATTACCCCCGCGTACCCACTTCGTTTCCCATTGGAAGTACCCTCTATACGGGATCAGGTCGAAAAAATTATCTTTTTTTTATGTTTGTCACTTTAATAAGTCGAGTCCTAAAATAGTTCAATAATTTTCCAATGAGTAGGAACTCATGTGACAAGTAATATTTTATTACAATAGGTATCGACATTGAGCAAGTAAGTTGAAAAAAATATACTAAGTTCAATTTTATAAGGTTCCGACTTCTGATTATATACGTGATCAAACTATGTATATACTCGTATATAAGGGTAGGATCCATCCTACTGGCAGTTGGACTTGCGCGATTTGATATTACCCCCGCGTACCCACTTCGTTTCCCATTGGAAGTACCCTCTATACGGGATCAGGTCGAAAAAATTATCTTTTTTTTATGTTTGTCACTTTAATAAGTCGAGTCCTAAAATAGTTCAATAATTTTCCAATGAGTAGGAACTCATGTGACAAGTAATATTTTATTACAATAGGTATCGACATTGAGCAAGTAAGTTGAAAAAAATATACTAAGTTCAATTTTATAAGGTTCCGACTTCTGATTATATACGTGATCAAACTATGTATATACTCGTATATAAGGGTAGGATCCATCCTACTGGCAGTTGGACTTGCGCGATTTGATATTACCCCCGCGTACCCACTTCGTTTCCCATTGGAAGTACCCTCTATACGGGATCAGGTCGAAAAAATTATCTTTTTTTTATGTTTGTCACTTTAATAAGTCGAGTCCTAAAATAGTTCAATAATTTTCCAATGAGTAGGAACTCATGTGACAAGTAATATTTTATTACAATAGGTATCGACATTGAGCAAGTAAGTTGAAAAAAATATACTAAGTTCAATTTTATAAGGTTCCGACTTCTGATTATATACGTGATCAAACTATGTATATACTCGTATATAAGGGTAGGATCCATCCTACTGGCAGTTGGACTTGCGCGATTTGATATTACCCCCGCGTACCCACTTCGTTTCCCATTGGAAGTACCCTCTATACGGGATCAGGTCGAAAAAATTATCTTTTTTTTATGTTTGTCACTTTAATAAGTCGAGTCCTAAAATAGTTCAATAATTTTCCAATGAGTAGGAACTCATGTGACAAGTAATATTTTATTACAATAGGTATCGACATTGAGCAAGTAAGTTGAAAAAAATATACTAAGTTCAATTTTATAAGGTTCCGACTTCTGATTATATACGTGATCAAACTATGTATATACTCGTATATAAGGGTAGGATCCATCCTACTGGCAGTTGGACTTGCGCGATTTGATATTACCCCCGCGTACCCACTTCGTTTCCCATTGGAAGTACCCTCTATACGGGATCAGGTCGAAAAAATTATCTTTTTTTTATGTTTGTCACTTTAATAAGTCGAGTCCTAAAATAGTTCAATAATTTTCCAATGAGTAGGAACTCATGTGACAAGTAATATTTTATTACAATAGGTATCGACATTGAGCAAGTAAGTTGAAAAAAATATACTAAGTTCAATTTTATAAGGTTCCGACTTCTGATTATATACGTGATCAAACTATGTATATACTCGTATATAAGGGTAGGATCCATCCTACTGGCAGTTGGACTTGCGCGATTTGATATTACCCCCGCGTACCCACTTCGTTTCCCATTGGAAGTACCCTCTATACGGGATCAGGTCGAAAAAATTATCTTTTTTTTATGTTTGTCACTTTAATAAGTCGAGTCCTAAANTTTTCCTATCACTCTCATGTTCGAATTCGTTACCCGAATCGTCCGATTCTTGACGTTTGCTTTTGGACTTTTTGTGCCGATGCTCCTTAGGTTCCGACTTTGTCGTTTTATTTTTTTGATCTATCTTATCGCTTTTAGGTGATTTTTTCGATTCCTTCTTTGCCCTTTTAGCCGATTTCTCATCGTCGGGATCCGACGAATGCGGCGCGGAGTGTTTTCTTTTCTGTTGCGACTTTTCATTTGCGGATTCTTCGGCTAACCTTTGCGACAAGTCCGACGTTATGGTATCATTTCCGGAATCAAATTTGTCGCGTCGCGACTTTAAGGCACTGTCACTGGTCAAGGCTGAGGATTCGTCCATTTTGCATGTCGTGTTGTTCCTACTGTGAGGTAGGCTCAGAGAAAGTCGTATTTTATTTTTTGGTATAACTGACTGGTTAGGCGTATCTGGATTCGATGTGTTCTTCTCTAACTTCGGCGTGGAACACGTGACTTTACTGGAAGTTATGGTTTGTAAGTCAATCGGATTCTTGAGTACCACATCCGACAGGGTCTTAATGCTTGGCTTTTTGAAATTGTCCTCGGGTCTGGACTTATCATCAACTGTTGCAGATTTATCGACTTCGTGTCCGGACTCGATTTCACCCTTGGAACGTTTAGACTCTTGCGGTCCGAGTTTGGAATCACTCTTTCTGCTTGTGAAATATTGTTCTTTGTCGACTGTACTTGCACTAGAGAGAACGTCGTCGTCCATTACAATTTTGTTGTATTTTAACGTTGGTAAGTCCAACGGACGTAAATAGACGCGCAAGTTATTGTAAGTCTCTGATCTATACCTGGGATCCTTCGGTACGTTGGGCGATCCAGCCGAGGTCTTCAACGGTAGGGACTTAAACCCGGTCGACGTAGACGCAACTTGTTGCCCGTTGTCAGTCTCTCGCGGATAGTTGGGCTGCGAACGCATGGACGAACTATGGTTCAATTCTTCTGTTATCTTATTTTCAGAGGAGCGTGTCTTGCGCCTGGTGATTTGCTCGCTTTTCTTAGGTGCCGACTTTGGCGAGGGCTCGTAGGCTGATTCTTCTGACTCGCTAATTGGAGGAGATGGAGATCTTTTCAGCGAGGACTTTGATTTTCTGCTTCCTGACTTCTTATGACGAGGGGAGGCTTCGCGAACAGCGGCTGGCGGTTCGTCATCGGAGCTCATGGATGCAGACCCCGAATGCCCAGTTATCGAGTCGGAATCCGAGTCCGAATCGCTGTCCGAGGATATCGAAGTCTTCGTAGGCTTGTTCGGCGAAGTTTTCTTCTTACGACCGGACCTAACAATATTGTCATCGGAATCTGAACCACTATCACCTACAAAAATTATATATTAATTGAGGTTCCGACTTAAATATAACATGACTTGAAACGACTACTTACTGGAACTAGACTTCTTTGGCGACTTTCGCGGGTCGGGAAGAGGCACAAGCTCTTTTTTCGTCTGCCGCTCCAACTCCTCCGTGGATCGTGCAGCTCGGCGTGCCTTTATTTCTGGCGGTGTCTGCGGTGTTGGCGGTTTGGACCGCTGTAAACTCTGTGAAAAAATTATGTCAGAAATGTCAGAATAGTCATAACCGACGTAAAATTTTATGAACTTTTCGAATCCGGCGTCAGAATTGTCAAAAAAGTTGATGTGTAAAAGTTATGAACAATTATACAATAAAAAACACGATTTTTTTGAAAAAAAATTTGATTTGATCCGAATTTTCGAGTCGAAACAGACTTGCTCTATAGGTCTAACACGTTTTTTTTGCGTCCATGGGGTGTAGACTTAAAAGTCCAATAGTTACGATATCGAAATTCAACATTTTCTCTATAACGTTTTGTTCCTAGGCGCTTGGTTGACATATAAAAAAATTGACTACATTCATATACGGTTTTTTTCTACGAAGCGCCATTTTCGTGTCCGCCATGTTAAATTTCGATATCGTAACTATTGGACTTTTAAGTCTACACCCCTTGGACGCAAAAAAAACGTGTTAGACCTATAGAGCAAGTTTGTTTCGACTCGAAAATTCGGATCAAATCAAATTTTTTTTCAAAAAAATCGTGTTTTTTATTGTTTAATTGTTCATAACTTTTACACATCAACTTTTTTGACAATTCTGACGCCGGATTCGAAAAGTTCATAAAATTTTACGTCGGTTATGACTATTCTGACATTTCTGACATCATTTTTTCACAGAGTTTACAGCGAATGAAAAAATAACTAAAATTTCGTCCGTTTGGCCCGAAACGGGTTAAATAAAAGGCGAAATAACTAATTAGGCTCAAAATATATCAGAGGGGCTGTTCGCGCCAGGTGTCTCCTAGTCGCTTGATGTACTGATACTACCGCCGCTGATGAGCTATGCTTATGACTCTCATTGTAGTGCGCCGCGTCACTGGTGGGGCCTTGTCGTCCCACGTGACAGTACTCACGGGAACAGATCCACCACCGCACCACGCACCAGGAGAGGGGAGCTATGCTGCTTGATTTGCGGGCATTGCAGGCGCGACATGGCAACCTTGTATGGTTTGCCCCAAATGTCGCTGTTGACTTCGTCGCAAAGCTGTCTCCAGCACCGGAGCTTGCTGGTCTTGATCGCCACGCGCAGTAGACGTCTTGCGGAGGCTTGGTACGGGCTGTGGGCTTCCTCGCCTTGCCGGCCACGCGATCTCTGGAAGAGTGTACGAGCCCGCAGATAAAAGCGCCGGAGATTCATTTCGAATTCATTTTTTTGCTTCGAAGTAGGTCTGCAAAAGCTTTTTTATCAAGAAAAAGTCTTTTTTCAATCTCTCCGTCAAAAGTATTGACTTTCACTGTACGCGTAGCCTAGAAAAAAAAGTACTTTTGCTCACTTCTGCGTGTCCGACAGATGCAGCGGTTGCTATGGCCAGCTCAGCCTAGCAACGTAATATTTATAATTTTATCGATCGTATTAATTAGCCTACAATTTGTCGGAGACACATTAATACGTAGAGACGTTATACTAATTACCTGGTAAAAATTATGCAGAGTCCTGAAATATGATTCGCGGATGATGGTATGTGTACGGACGAGAAAGAATGTTGTGTGTAATTTGTTACACACAAGTCAACATGAAAAAATATTTTTTATATTAATGTTATATCACGAGCGAAGCGAGTGATGCTAATATCGGGTCAAGCATCAAAATTCGAAACTTAATTACAGAGTTGTATTTTAAAATTTAGTATTATGACTCGCTACGCTCATGATGCTATAAGTGAAATAAAGAATTCGCAGTACATGTAACTGATTTTATTTCTTCTTGATTTTGAGGTTATGAATATGATTTTGGATGACAAATTTGAATTCATCATCAAATTTTACATAAACTATCATGTTTCAATAATTTTTTAATATTCACCCTTGGGGGTAGAATAAAATATGAAAAATTAAATTCCATCTCTGATCCAAGAAGGGGGGGGGGGCAGTTGACACGATATAGCCCATATATATTTTTTATTATGCTTAGCTTTTAAACTAAAAACTATTATTGTTTGCATTTTTATATAGTTAATCGTTAATTTCATAAGATAATAAGCAACTCTATTGCTGTATTTTTTCTAATAAAGCAATATCTTTTATATTTATTGTTACTGCATCATCGTATAAAACCCATTGCGAGTTTTTTAAGCAATATGAATTACAGTTGCCTCAGTATAATCGCCCTCATGAACCATAACAGATTTCAATCTATATAAGATCTGTTTATTTGATTTTCTATTAAGAAATATTTTAAATAAGTAGAACATTATAAAATTTTAAAAAGTTCAATTCGAAAATACTTATGAAAGTACGACTTCAGGGACTATTATCGCTTTATCTTTATTATTGAAAAAAATGTCCAAACTTCCACCATTTTATTTTTTTTAGCTAGCTGAGAAAATAAATGATAAATACACCTTTTATTTTTTCCATCTGTTAATAGTCTCTTAAATAATAATATAAATAATAATATTCATAAAATGAGTACTCACTCATATATACGGGTCAAATCGAGTTCTTCTGGAAAATAAATTGTAATTGAATATCGTTGTAATTGAATTGTCAAAATTGTCGGTTCATTTGTTATTATTAGGTTTTTTTTGTGCATATTATTAGAACCACATTTATTGCATCCAACGTACCGATAGTCGATGGCACTTTATGGTAGCTTAATTAAATTGTTTAAATGAAAAGTATCTTTCTGAAATCCTTCCGGTAAGCTTACAAGAAGCATATGGTGAGAGTCCATCTCTCTCCAAATACTTTGACAATTTACAAATTCGTAATTTTCAGTCAATTCAACTCTCAAATTTTTTCGAAATAAAGAACTCGGAAACGAATCTGTCAAAATATATTCTCCATTACAATGTTGACTATTGACTTCTAAATATTCGAAAAAAATATTCAAAAATCTGGCCACATCATGTTGGACATGTTCTGAAAAAGGCCCATCTTCTTTCGCATTCCGAGGTAAGATGTGTTATATACTGCGCTGTTATATAACAGCAGCGCACACTTTTTGTTTATTTATATAATATGTAAACAAGCCGCTAGGTGGAGAACTTGTAAAAACTTGTTACCCAAAAATGAACGGTGACTGAAAATGCTTATTAACCGAGTCGAAATAAAGCTCCGGCATGTTCCAGGTTGAACACAAATACCTGATTTTCATTGATTGAGAAACGAGTTAGCCACACTACCTGAATTAGTAAGTTCATTGCTTACTATTCAAACAGACGGCCGAAGAAAAGAGATACCTGAGAGCTTGAACGATCTACAGAAGGTAGCGATCAAAAGTCACTTCTACCAGACGATCAAACTCTGACACCTGCAAAGGCACGAACGAGATCACCCCTTCTGACTCCCGTTCACCACTACCAGTCACGACTTCATTGAGTCCAATCTCAGAAGCCACCGCTGCCACGTCGGATTCACGCTTCCTCATCATCGCGCCGTCGCAGTCCACCGAATCACTGCTACCTAACGAAACTTTTCTCGTACTTGTTATCCGTCCGATAATAGATGATTAACTCTTTTTTCAGCTCTCTGCAAAAACGTAGAATTAAACATATTTGTCAAGTATGTAATCATTTTGTTAAAAGATGACAGTTAAAATCAGTTTTATTTTAATTTTATTTTCTAAAATTAAAAGCTTTCCTTATAAGTTTCCACAAAAGTAACGAAAAAACTATTTTTTACTTTGTAGTTTAATATTTCAATTCGAATCGCGGCCGTCAACAAAAGCAATTTTTGAGGTCACGCATTTTCAATTAACATATAAACATGCTGCTCTTCGTTAAAAAGGTCGATATGTACACTTGAAAGTCCAATAAAATTTTTTTTCAACGCTTCAAGAGTTAGCTAGCTTATTTAATCCAAAACGATTGATTGTCCAAAACGGTTGATTGTGATTGATTGATTGATTGATTGATTTGTAATTTCACAAAAATCGTGCCTTTTTGTCAGTTTTAACCAGAATGCTCCGTTCATTTAAAATATTTATTTTATTTTGAAAAAATTGAGTCAAATATCTATACTCACGTTAAAAGAACGTTTAAAGATTGTTTCCCTCTCCCTTCAAAAATGTTTTTTATGTTTCATATAAAATAAGATCCGACTGTCACAATTCAATTTTCAACTATCTAGCCTTTTGAAAAAATCTAAAGCTAAAAATGACTGGAGTGTAGGATTTAACTAACATGAATTGCAATCTGGAGGGTTTGGAAATCTAATGTAAGTATCCAAATTCGTATTAAATTGCTGACATTAAATGCATAAGCTGCCATTAGCAAAAAAGTCACTTTTCGAGAAATACTCGAACAGTTATGAGCGCGAGGCTTGTACACACACGTTCACGCGCTATTAGGTGCTCAATGGCATTGAAGCGTAGCCAGGTTGACGGCTTGCTGATCAGAAGGTCGGGTGGCTTCATACCCGCGTGAGGTAGAGGGTAGAGAGAGAAAAAGACACTGACAATTGAAGTTAACTGGTAGAGAGTGTGGTTTATTGCTCGCGATGCTTACAGCTCGTCGGTCGGAGCAAGCGTGTGAGGCATGACGCAGCGTGCGAGGCGACACGAGTTGCTTACAATGAGTGGCAAGGCAATTGCGTGCGCGTCGCTAGGGTGCGCTTTGGCGAGTGCGTCTGTTGCTGACGCCACAGTACTACCCCCTTACTTCTTTTATTATTTTTTTTTTTTTTGAAAGAAAAAACATTACATTTGTCAATTAATAATGATAAGTGAGGAAAGGATATTGTTTATATTTGTATTGTAACAACATTAACATTATTCTTTTACTAGCTATAAGCGTATAAAAATATAATGTTTTAAGAAAAAAGAATATTTTTGAGTATTATGAACGCTTAACATTATATATTAAATTTTTTTGTGTTGAACACAACGGTGTTTTAACGATAGGCTTAACAGTAATTTTTCTTACAAAGTAATTTTGGCCGCACTTGCTGTGGAACAAAGTCCTTTTTTTGTAATGATCTAGCATCCACTGCGGCTCAATAATGTTAAAACCACGACAGCAGACTTGTACTTTTTGATCTATTTATTTTCTGATTGTTTCAAAGGTGAACGTAGGTCTTCTTTGGCATAGCTTAGAGTAATAGAAATAAGACTTGTAGGTAGTTTATCTAGAATGTGTGGTTTACTCACATTAAACTTAATTGTTAGGAAACATTAATAACCCCCCACCCCCCCNCCCCCCCCCCCCCCCCCCTTAATCGCGAGAAATCCACATTATCACTAAGATGAATGTTTTTGAATTTTAGGATTGTAACGTTAGGTATGCGTGGAATGATTTGATCAATTACAGATTTAACAAACATTGCTTAAGTCTAAGTATTTAATTTTTGGTGACATGTGGATTTGCGGATTGAAATCTGGATTGACTAATCTAACATTTGGTTTTTCAAATTTAACACTAATGCGCTCGAGCGCGTTTCGATCGCTAAATAATTGTTCAAACAGCTGAACCGAACCGTCGTAAAAATCTGTCGCAAACATGATTATTATTTCAAAGTTGTTGATTGTATAATTATTAAGGTGATGCCTTGGCCACGATTTTTACCGATCGAGTATTAAACGTGTAAGTTTTAATAACTTTTTTACTAGACCGATTTTCAAAAAACGGCTCTGTGGAGTGCTTCGTATTGTTGCTGTGAACAACTGCACCAAATTTCAGCCAATTTCATCGAGTAGTTTTCCCGGAAAACAGGATCAAAATTTTTTATCCTGCTAACAGTAATCAAAATTTTCGATCCTGTTTTCCGGGAAAACTATCCGATGAAATTGGCTGAAATTTGTCGCAGTTCTCAACAACAAAACGGAGGGCTCCACAGAGCCGTTTTTCGAAAATCAGCCTGGAAAAAAAGTTACGAAAATATACATTTTCTGTGCTCGGTCGGTAAAAATTGTGGCCAAGGCATCACCTTAATTGTAAATTTCTGCAGGTGCTCGTTCTGGAGACACTCTCCTCTAAATTTTGGATTGTTAACAATGATTAATTCGGTAATACTCATTTTACAAGTAATTTTCTCTGTGACAGAGAGAGTACGCCCCAACTTGAACCTGTCTATTTTAAAGTTGTTTGCTATGAACTCCAGGCATTGCTTTGTCATCTCAACGTCGGTTAAGTCAAGATAACGCAAGTGGCCCTTCGCCCCGTCTCGCCTGCAAAGCGAATTACCGTGAATTTTTTTTAAACATTCTTTAACGAGTCTGACGGAGTTGATGTTATTGGGGTTATCGAAGATTAGCGTACGCGGTGCGTATTTGTTGAACATTGATGTTAAGCTATCGAACGAAGTTTGCCCAAACGGTATTGGCCACGAGCTGTCGAAAAAATATGTAACGAGCGCGTTTACGAGTGTAGGATGTAGTGCATATGCCATCACGATGTTGAATGACGTGCGGATGTCTAGACTTTCGAAAATTTTCATGGTAATTGTGTAGTGTGAAACGAGCGGACTTTGTAGGTTTTGCTTCGAGTACTTTTTTGGTGGTTGAATGACATTTAAAGTCTTTGAGAAGGTTTTGTTGCCTAACGGTACAATTTTAACGAATCCGTGCTGGGTTTTGCCATTTTTATCGACGTAGGACCATTTGAACAAGTTAGCAGCTGCAAAAGTTTGAATTTTGCATGAGACTGTCTGTGAATAGCAATTGATTGTGCCAGGTGTGCACTTCCATCTGGAATTGTATTTTACTGCTGTGAGGCGATATTCACTAGGGTCGACAGGTTGAAGTTCTCGTGTCTTGGTCGTAGGTGGTTGTATTACGACTTTGTGTGGTCTTTTTCCCTACGAGTTTTTCATAGCTTGTAGCCTTTGGGTCTGAAATGTCGGGAAGATCTGCGGCAACAATTACCGGAGAATCGTGTTGATTTGCAGCGTTGATAGCTGATTGATCGTGTTGATCAGTAGTGAGAGAGGAGTGCTCGTGTTGATCGACTGTGAACGGAGGATCTTGTTGATCCGTAGTGTGAGGAAGTGAGAGAACAGGTTGATCTGCGGTGAGCGACTTGTTGATGATGGAGTTTTGCTCATTCGTTTGAGTAAGCTCATTTGAAATAGTCTTGTCGACTTGTGGCTCCGGAGGAGGAGGTAAATGTGTTTCGTCTGCATCAAAAGCGAGATAGGCTGGTTTTAAGTGCTTGATCGAAACTGTTTTCACTTTATTACCTATGATGATATCAAATTGTATACGTGAGTCATGTTTATGGTATACTTTGTGTGGACCTGTGAAAGGTCTAGTAAGAGGTGGTTTTACAGCTTTGATTGCTTTGAAGATATGAGTGCAAGATTCAAAGTCTTTGAAGTAAAACGGTTCTACCTTAGATTTTGCAATTCCCTCAATAGGCTTTAAGTTCTGCATGCGTTGCACAAAGGGAGTTTTGAACGTTTTAAGTTCATCTTCGTCGCGATTAATTTCACCGATGAAGTCGCCGGGTATGCACAGAGCTGTGCCATAAAGCATTTCTGCTGGGCTTATGTCTTCAGGTAAAATAATCCTGGTGCGAAGTTCGAAAAAGACAGTAGGAAGTGAAGTTACCCAATCTTGGGTATGAGTTCTACACATCAAGGCGGCTTTGAGATCTATGTGCCAACGTTCTACCATTCCGGTTGAGGCCGGATGATAGGCCATGGTACGAATGCGTTTGATACCGAATAATTGTGTAAATTCTTCAAACACGGCATATTCGAATTGGCTGCCTTGATCGGAAGTTAAAATTGATGGAACGTCGGAGCGAGATATACAGTGGTCGAATATCGCTTGCGCGACAGTGTGCGCAGTACTGTCGCGAAGAGGAATGGCTTCCGATCAACGGGAAAATCTGTCAATGATGGATAATATAAACCTGTAGCCATCTCTTGGTGGGAGAGGACCTACAAGATCGACATGTATATGTTAGAATCGAGTATCAGGCGCAGTAAACTGGGCAGGACTCAGTTTGTTGTACCTTGAAATTTTAGATTGCTGACTATCCAAGCAAAATTTGCACCAATTGGTAATGTCACGCGTCATGTTTGGCCATACATAACTGCGATGAATTAAACGATCATTGACTCTGCCAGTAGGATGTGATAAACCATGATAGGTGTTGCAAATTGCCGTTCGAAGTGACTTAAGCAAATATGGCCTGATATTATTGTCTTGTACGTTAGCGTAAAAAAATTGTTTATTTATAGGCCAGGAGAATTTGACTAGTTTCAAAGGATGTAAAGGGTCCTTCAAAATTTCTGCCAACTCCTGATCATCGGCTTGCTTGTTGCAAAACTCTCCCATATCAATAGCTATAAGCAGCTTGAATGCATTTATGCAATTTAACATGGCATAAGTATTTTGGTCAATTGCGGAAATTTCGTAAAGAGATTCTATGCAAGAGAGTGCATCAGCAACATTGTTGTGTGTGCCTGGTAACTAAACCATTTCGATATCGAAAAGAGAAAGATATTCGAGTTGTCTGGCACGACGTGGGATGGGTTTCTCGCGCTTTTGAGACAGAGCTTGCAGAAGGGGTTTATGATCGTTGCCGAGGATAAATTTCCCAGACTCGACATAATATTAAAAGTATTTGGTAGATTTTACAGCCGCAGTTAATTCACGATCGTATGTTGAGTAATTTCTTTGTGCATTATTGAATTTTTGTGAAGAGAAAGCTAAAGGAAACCATGGCTCTGAAGTATTTTGCTGTTCAAGCACGCCCCCCCCCCCCCCCCCNCCCCCCCCCCCCCCATAGCTGTGCTCGAGGCATCAGAGCATATGCGAATAGGTTCAGTATCTACCGGAAAGGCAAGTAAAGCTACGTCAGCTAAACGTTGCTTGCAAGCTTCGAACGCGGAAAGGCTTTCATCGTCCCATACGATAGGTGATTTATCTTTTTTCTTATTGCCCATAGGGTGTCTGTGTAAGGGTATTTGTAAATGAGCGAGATGTGGTATGTATTCGTGATAGAAATTGATCATGCAGAGAAAACGAGTTCGTCCACTGTCTGGGGACGAGGAAAATTGCTTATGTTGTCGATTTTCGCAGGTAATGGCTTGTAACCTGATTTATTAATTAAAAAGCCGAGAAATTCTACTTCATGTAGACCAAAGTGATACTTATTTAGATTTAATTTGTGACAGTTGCGTTACGCCGTCACAGCTCTCTCGCCACCTCAGCCAGACTATTGTGAAATATACCATCTGACTTATGTTTTTCCACGCAGCAGTGGCAGCGAGACGCATGTGTGTGCGAATATGTGTGAGTGAGGATACGGCGTGTCGCGAATTGCATGATGCCATAAAATATTTTGGAGCAGGGGTGACGAATTGGTCACGTGACCGATTCGCTCCTACGAGCAGCGCGATTGTGAGCAGCGCGGCGAGATCGTTTTCGGACGCTGAGACGACCACATCGACGTAGTCCCGAAATCGCGAGAAGTTGCGTCGGGCGTAAGTTGATCGCGCCGTACGTCGCAAGTGCGTGTACCCTGAGGCACGACCCGGACTAGCGTGAACGAGTAGCGCCGAATGTCGCGGGTTCGTGAGGTACGGACGACTTGGACTCGCGTGTACGCCTTCGGACGGGCTTGATTGTCGGGACACGTGAAGCGGCGTCGCGCTCCGGATCTCCACGTGGTTCATTTTTACGCGGCAACGGATTGTCGCCCGATTCTGCGTATCGCGTGCGTGAGTGCAGCGGCACAAACAGGACGAGGGGCCATCCTTGACCAAGGCGACGACAAGCGGCCAGCGACGGCTAGGGCGTGCGCAACTAATGTAAGTACCTCTCGAGTACCAAGCCCTCTCAATGCGTGTGCAATCGCGTCCTGTATGCAAGAGCGTGTGATCGCGATTGCGCTGCTGCGTGCGCTGTAATTATTGATCCAGAACTTGAACTTAATAATAATTCATTTCTTAATTACTATATTAATTCTCGAATTATTATTTCGGCAAAACCTTCCCGTTATTTCATCCTAGGTTGGACCACGACGCCACCGCGGTCGGTGCAAATTGTCGCACCGAGTAACTGAGCTAGCCGGCGATCAGCACGAGGACGCGCATCACCTAGGATCACCCTGTGAATATTGTAGCGGTCACGGGAACCGTTACGAATTGTAGACCAAAGTCTCTCAGTCTTTCCAACACTACTCTCAGGTGTCGTCTATGTTTATCGAGCGATGAAGAAGCGATTAGAATATCGTCAAGATATACAAATACGTAAGGTAAATCGCCTAGAGCAGAGTCCGCATATCGTTGAAAGGTTTGAGCCACGTTTCTCATTCCAAATGTTATAACATTGAACTCGAACAGGCCGAAAGGTGTGATAACTGCCGACTTAACTCTGTGTTCAGAAACCAGAGGAATCTGCATGTAAGCTTTTTGCATATCGAGAGTGGAAAAAATGTTGGTATCAGCGAGAATCGCTGTGAAATCTTGAAGTCTCTTCACCGGGTATTTATCAGGAATCGTGACGGTGTTTAATCGGCGATAATCACCACAGATGCGCCACGTTCCGTCTTTTTTCAGAACCATTTGTATAGGCGATGCCCAAGGACTGTTGGAAGGCATTATCAATCAGTTTGAATGCATTTCAGCGAAATAAGCTTTAGCAATTTTAAGTTTTTCAGGAGAAAGACGACGAGCTTTCTCAGATACAGGATGCCCCTCTGTATGTAGATAGTGACATACTGAGCTTTCACTGATGGCTTTTCTGAATTGAGAGTCATAAGTGGTGGAAAACTGTGACAAGATGTCGTAAAAAGTGTGAGATTGTGATAATAGTGATATGTTATAAGTCGGAGAAAGTAAGATTTTTCCGGCTGCATATACAGTATTTTGGCGAGTTCGTAAAGCGGCTTGGCTAAAATCGATAAGCAAGTCAAAATAATGAATGAAGTCCGCACCCAAGATTAGGTATGGTACATCAGTGATAACGAAATTCCATGTGAACTGACTTTTGCAATTGAATTGTAATTGCAAAGTATGTAAGCCGTATATGTTCATTATTGACTTAATTGCTGCTTCGAGCTTAGCTTTAGCAAGTCGAGCTTGGGGAATGAACGAGACAGGTAAGACTGAAATGTCTGCATCAGAGTCAGCTAGAAAAGATTATTTATTACGATGATCATATACGTGGAGACGAAGACTTATGGAAAGTCCATTTGCTGCAGTCTCCAAAGCAGTAGCGGACTGCCTTCGTTTTTTTTATTGCTTTTCTTGCCCCGCTTTTCACTGCTCCTACGGCAAGGATCTGCACAGTTTTTGGCATCGTCACCAAATCGAGAGTGACAGTAGCATAAGCCCTCGTTATCGGTTGCGTCTTGGGAGCTTTTCTTGTATGACTGCTTCGTTTCATTCTTGTCACTTCTATTGTTATTACTGGCATTGTTATATCGACGCTTGTTTAGCTTTTTCTCAAAGGAATTCATCTTATCCTCGAGCTTAGATAACGCTTGCGGGATCTTGTCAAAATCGAAAGTGCTGTCCGCAGTTGTTGCAGGCGTTTGTAAAGGTGCAATGCAAAAATTGAAAGGCGGCTGCTGTTATGATTTGAGATTGTACGAGTCAAAAAGTTCGTCTGCTTTGGAGACGTTCTCAGCTTCATTGGTTAGCGTAATTACTAAACTTAAACCCCTTGAGATAGTAGGAGGTAAATTTTTCTTCCATAACAACAGAATTGATTCATGTGGTATCCATTGATCCGAAGCAGACGCCAAGTGATTAAGATATTCTGAGGGTGTATGATCTTGCATCCCGTTGAGATTTTCGCTGAGTTGTTTTATTTTCGTTTTGTCGTTCTCTACGTATTTGGGTAGAAGAATAGCTTTTAATGAATTGTACTCATTATTTCTAGGAAGCGTAATCAGTGAATGCTTCAACTCAGCGGTCACATCGTGACCCAATTCGGTAACTAAATGATAGTACTTGTCCTGTTCGGCAGTGATATCGGCCGCTGTGAATTGAGATTCAAGTAGGCTGATCCTAACTGAGGACTGTGTTTGTAAAAATCTGGAAATTTGTCTAATTTTCTTTGAGCAGCGGCTTGTATGACAAGACTGTTTTGTGCGAGAGGTGAAGTTGCAGTCGATTGCATCTGTGGTGCGAAAGATGCTTGAGGGATCGGCTGTATTAAAGACGATGTGCACTGCGACTAAGACGGTACAGTGGGCTGTGATGCGATATGTGTAGGCTGCATGCTTGGCTGTGCAAACTGCTGCATCGGTGCTGTTGTATACTTTACGCTTGTTTGTAGAAATGAAGGAATGCATTGAGGGTTTGATTGACGAGATACAAATGTGCACTGTGTCGGGTAGACAGTCACAGAAGAGATTTGCGAGACAGGTGGAAAATTTACCATATGTTTGCTTGCAGGGAAAGTTTGAGACTGCACATGCTCACAAAGAGGTGGAGCAGAAGCAGCACTGCATGAAGAAACAGCAGTAGCATTACCGGGTGTCATATCGTTGCTATCGCTGAGTGCAGAAAAATCTGCGTCGATGATAGACTTTTGTATTAATGCGAGATTGGGATTTGACACTTTTTTAATTGCACCACTGTTTTGATTAGTAATCGATGGAGGGATTACTATTTGCTGCTGTGTAGCAGAAGCACTGAGAGCTTGCTGTAATTCAGACTGCATATTACACAGCTGTTTGCGCGTTTGGTGCAGTTCCAGCTTGGCACCATTGAGTTGGCTGGGAAGACTGAGAGAGAGATCGTTTGTGCTGTCTGCTTTAGCTTGCTCGTGCATGTTGGGAGTCGAGTTCGAATGCGTACTTAAAACAAGGGACGATCCGAATTTATGTCTGTCTCGTGTGACTTGGTGTCGTCGTGCCCCTGTGTATCTGCGGTTTTGTACGATTCTAGCGTGTCGACCAACCGTCTACATGTACGTGTGCGTGATGCAATCGGCGATCGTTGCAGCTTGAAATAATCATTTTAACACTCAAAAAACTTGCATATTGACAGGAAATTTCCTCAGCTTTTGATTAAGACTATCTGAAAAAATCGAAAAAATACCGTTTTGGAGATATTTGACTTTAAACGTTTTCCGACGATTTTTCTGAGAAAAAAGGAAAATTTTCGAAAATCTGACCTCACCATCGGAAAGCTTAGGTAATTTCCTATCGAATCGATATGTTACTTTTTTTTGTAGGTGCATTTAGGTGCTGTTACAGTGAGTTAGAAATTGAGCAATTTCGCCTCATAATGCCGTGCGGGCCTCGAGCTAGGAAACTTCACTCTGATACCTTGAATTTTCAGATAAGTTCAAAGCTTTTCACCTTAAGATCTCTACAATCCAAAAAAAGATCCAAATTTTTAAGGGTGCATTCAAAGTGGTGCTTTTTTGTTAAGCTTTTACATTATGAAACGAAAAATGTAAAAAAAAATTTCGTCATTTATTATAAAATCGAGATTCAAAATTTTTGATTCCGACGACAAATGAATTCATTCAGAGTATCAACAAAATAAAGGCTTACATCTACAGAAACGGAACTATAAGTATCTATAATAAGTCCGCTTCCCCTACGTTTTATCACGTATCGATGTGATGAGCTGTGCATCATACTTATATAGTTTTCAATTTTTAAATATAAAAAATAAAATCTTCTTGCATCGCTTCAAACCGTATAAACACGTAAATATGAATACAACAATTCAACCTGTTTATATGTACACACACAGTCGCGCTCTCATGCCGCATGCATGGGTAAGACGACAAGCGCGACCTATTACACCATGACTTACAGAATAAAACTACGGTAGTTTGACGACGGCATCGATTGCTTCGTTGTTAGTAAATATCTTTCTACCGTTCAAAGCGTTCTGCAATTTCACTGTACAACTGAGAAAGGTAAAAATAAACGTATCTGATTAACGTAATTTCTTTTTTGCAGGATACCTGAATATTAATCTGAAAGTGAAGGTTAACCAATTTCGTGAAAAATCTTAAAAACCTTAACCCCTACTTACCTACAGTAAGTTCGACATTTGCGCATACATCTGTGAGTCGAGCTACATAATTTGCCCTTCAGCATGACACACGCCTGTAAATAATTTACTCGCTGTAGTCAATATTTCAGTTTATTTAATCACATTAAAAACAATGTCAACCAAATGAAGGATTACGTTCGATTGGACTGTCGTACACTTGAGTATGTTTTGGATAAAATGCAAGGATCTTTAACTAAAAAGTGGGACAATTTACACAAGCACCGTGTAATGCCCGAAGAGCAATCAGTTATTTTTTTAAGATTTTTGACGACAGGCAGCATCTATAAATCATTTGCGCTTACGTTCGACGTATCGACAACCACAGTATCTAATGTGATTCACGAGTGTTTTAATGTCATTTGGAGCAAATTAACACCTATACACATGCAAATTCCAGAACAAGAAGATTTTTTGCGTATATCAGAGGGATTTTTCAAGAAATATGTAATGACTAATTGCATTGGTGCCATCGACGGTAAACACTTTTGCATCAAATAGCCGGATTTTTCAGGAAGCCTATTCTTCAACTACAAAAAGTTCTTCTCTGTTGTGCTGCTATATTTACTACCGTTGATGTGGATCAGTATGGATCACAAAATGATACAAAGATTCTTAGTCATTTGTATCTAAAAAAGGCGATTGAACAAAAGATTATAAAAATTCCATCACCACTGAAACTGACTGGCTCTGATATTACTGTACCCCACTATTTTATAGGGGATGGAGGCTATCCCATTCTGGAATACTTGATTAAACCTTACAGAGGTAATATATTGTCAGAACAAGAAAGTGCATTTAACGAAAAGCTGTCACAAGCAAGAGTGATTGTTGAACAGTCTTTTGGTATTTTAACCCAACGATGGAGAATACTTCAGACTACGATGCAGCAGCACCCATTAAAAGTTAAGATGATTATCAAGTGTGCTTGTATTCTACACAATGTGACTGAAGATCTGACAACAGATAAAGAAGATAATGATGAACTGATGGTCCTCAGTCACACTGATGATTGGGTTAAGAATGTATAGATTACAAGCGCCACCTCTGTGGATTTTGTAACGCATATAAGTCATTAGAAGACGCTTGACCCACCCGGCTATGCGGTCCCAAATGTATCGCGCGCTGATCGCCAGTCGCCACTGTGCTCTTGCCACAAGCAGTCACATGCGTAGCATCCACTGTTGGATAGACGTAGGATCCACTGTCCGGAATGTCGATAGACACACTACATGCGTAGCATCCACTGTTCATTATTATCATCATAATCAATAAATACTTATTCTACCATTTACTTCAAGTATTTCTTTATTAGGTTATGGTCCCAGATCCCGTTAAAACAAAACATAAAAATTTTTCCTTTCGTTTTTGGCTTTATTCTAAATTAAGATTATAATAATCAAAGTGTCCATTTCTTTCCAAATAATTACTAAAGAATATGGAGAGTGATCTGGTTAAAGTAATTAGACTGAAAAACGCTGAAAACTGAAGTATTTGGAAATTTCAAATGCGTATAGTGCTAACCTCTCATGAAGTGTTCGGTATAGTGAGTGGTGACGAAACAAAACCAGCAGCTCTCGGACCAGATGCAACCACCGCACAAACTACACAGTATGAAACTTCATTAAAAGCATTTGTTCAGAAGGATGGATTGGCTCAAAAGTTAATTGTAACGTCTATGAAAAAACAGCCAACGATGCTGATTTTGAATTGCCAATCATCAAAAGACATGTGGGATAAACTACACGCAGTTTACGAGAGCAAAACCGATACGAGTGTTCACTGTTCATGTGTGGCGCCTGGAAATTCACCCCAGGTCACACGACGGTCGCGCCGTCAGTTGGGCCTCCCGCCGGACGAGAGCGACCGCTGACCTCGTGATGTCGAGTGCCTACCCTCACCTGATCAAGAGGTAGAGAGGGGCGCGCTGCGGCGCTTTGAGCGGCGACGATCCGTAAAAACCCCGGGACGAGAGGAAGATCCCTCTCTCGCTATTCAACTCTCCTCGAGCCCACACGTGTGGCCACGAGGACGTCACAAAAGATCTTATTTGCTCGTACGAGCTTCTTGTAATTTTGAGTTTACGTATTAAATAAATCTAGTTTATTCAGTTCAAGTCTGAGGTACGGCCTTTTAATTCACTACGTCTCATCCCCGAAGAACTGAACACATGTACTTCAACAAAAATGGTTCAGCCTAAAGAAGGATCCTGCTGACGATATCGCGACTCATCTCATAGGAATTTCGCGATTTTGTCCTATGAGATATCGCCAAGATTGAAGACCTGTGTTGCATGCTAAAATCAATGAAAGAAACTCTAGATTTCTAAGCTATGCGTTTCATGTTCCGCATTATAAATTTAATTTGTCTTCGTTGGGAGTCGCTTTAAATAAA